CGTCGAGATGCGGGACATCCGACAAAGTCAGCTCCTGGGGGTGGTATCTCAACCTCCCGATCGCCTCGAGGAGCAGATGCTCGTAGTTTTGGATCCACTGCGAGATCCGGCCTTGGTCTTTCGAGAACCTGCTGTAGAGGAATTTCACCTTGGCGCTACCTTGATCGACCATGGCGCTGACCTCGAAGAGCGCGATGCGACCAACGTTGGACCCGATGTCCGATGTCTTTGAGGCGAGGGTCCGGCCAGGGATGGCGAGCTGTTCCATCACACCGTTGTCGCGCTCCAGATGTTGCAAAGACCCCGCGTAGCTGAATATTATCTCGAACGGCCAATCCTGTGTGTAAACCTCGTTTCTCCCATGGCTGTAGAAGCGCGATGCGAAATACTGCGCGCCACGCGTTGGGATGAACCGCCGTGTGTCCTTGAGGCGGCGCAGAACGCCGATGAAGTCGTCCGTCGTCTCAACTTTTTGACTGATCGGGCAGAGCGAGGTGAACCATGCAACCGTTTCGGAAATATCGACATCGCGGCTGTATGGATCCCTCCCGTGCTCTTGGTTCCATACGACAGGGACGGGCCTGTCGTGGAAAGTCTGCGCGAACGATAGCATGAGGGCGGCAAGATAGATGTCGACAGAATCCGTCTTGAACACTTGGTTGCAGGAGCTCTGTAGGAGGGAGGTAAGCTCCTGGCTGAGAGTGAAGCTGACCTCCACGGCATCGCCATAGTTGTTTGGGACGTTGTGGAGGCCCCAGTAAGCGTAGTCGCCCGGCTGGACGGGGAAGGGGACCAAATCTCTCGGTTCTACTCCCTGAACCGATGCCCTCTGGATGTCGACCCATTTGTGGAACGGCATCGACCGTTGAGACAGCAAGCTCCCGTTCTCCAACAGCTCGTCGAGATCGTGGATGATGATGCGCCAGGATGTGAGGTCGACGGCAAGATGGTGTGCGGCGAGATACATCATGTGCTGGCCGTCATGCGTGGTAAGATAATCGACGGCAAAGACTGGTCCGGTCTCGATATTGATGGAAGTTTGCGTGTTTTCGATGATCGTGATCAACTCCCGTTCGGAAGATATTGCGGTATGAGTGAGACTGTACGAACCAGACACTTCTGGTAATACCCTTTGCACCCACCCTTGAAGACCACGGCTGAACCGAGACCTCAGCATCGGGTGGTGGCCCACAACGGCCTCCATCGCGGCCTCGATGTCCTCGACTGTGAACTGCTTCTTGAAGCGGAGCAAGAGGCTCTGGTTGAAGCGGTAGCACCCATCGGTGGAAGCCCTGCGCTTGAGGTCACCACCCATGGCGGTCTGGAAGTACAGGTGCTGCATCGGGGACAGATCGAAGCAGTCCAGAGTCTCCTCGTCCCACTTGTGTGCCAAGCCGCCCCGCGACGCTGCAAGGGCGGCCAGCTCGGATAACGTTGGTGTTTCCAGAACCTCTGTGTTACTGAGGTATATCGACTCGTGTTTGCACCGTGCGACCAGCTCCATCGCCGTCATCTCGTCGCCGCCGAGCTGGCTGAAGGACAGGTTGACCCCGATTTGCGCTTGGGGCAAGTCCAACACCTTGCTTACAAGCCTCTGGAGAGATTTTTCCATCCCTGTTGTGGCTGGTTGCAGTGGTTCCTGGCTTTCGAGGCTGAGGGCCTGCTGCAGGACGTCATTGTTGATGTTCTGGACCCATGTTCGTAGTCGTCTCGAGTCAACATCACCAGACTCGGTCAACGGCATGCCGTCCAATACGAGCCAGACATCGGGGATGGAATCGGGCGGCAAGACGCCCTGCGCCGCATTTTTGAGAGCAAGGAGCTGTGACCCGGCGAAGAGAACGTGCGACTGGGGAATGAGGTTAATGGAGGCAGCGGCTGGTTTGCTCTCGGCTGACATTGTCCCTGCGAGCGTGAAGAGCGCAACCAACCGCCCCTCCAACAGACCCGCCTTGGGCCGCACAGTTGCGATCCTCGCCACGCTGCTTTGCGCCCCCAAGGCCTGCTCAATATCTGTTCTCTGCCCGTTCGACACGGCGCTGCCTTGGCTAGACGCACGAGAGCGAGAGGGCGCCTTGAGGTCCCCCGGTGCTAGCTGGCCAGCAGAATGTATCCCAAGCGGGGCGATCATGACTTGCTCGACGGGCTCGACGGTATCGATCGGTCGGGATTGTCGGGCGCACGGTGTAACGCGTTGTTGGAGCTCGGCGAGGGTTGCGCATCGGAGAATGTCGTCTTCCTTCACGTCCATGCCAGCACGCAAACAGGCCTCTCTGACCTTTGCGGCGCTCTCCTCGTCCCCGCCCAGCTCCCTGAAGGAATCGTGGGGTTGCGCCCTCCCCCTCTCCAGCCCAAGCACTGTGGTGAACACGGCGAGGAGCTGTGTCGTAGCCGGCCCATCCCGCAATGGCCATGACGTCCCCGAATCGAGCGGGAGACCGGCATGCTTCGGCGCGGAGGCCATGCTGAAAGCAGGGCCAACAACGGAGTCGGTGAGGTTTGGAAATAACAGAACAGGACAAAATGGGTATCAATATAGTTAAAACGAAAGAAAAAAAGGCGGCAGAGGTTCGCTCAGTCGCTGGGCCGCATCGCAGAGCGGGTCATTCGGTCAACACGAGCTTCGAATGTGTTCGACACGGCATGGGGGCCGGTCTCGGGGTTTCGCTGGTCCGCGGACTCGGGCGCTCGAAGGAGGACTTGATGTCGAAGCGGGGGGCAGTCGCGATCGGGGTGCCAGGTGCGAGATGCGAGGTTTCGACTGAAGGGCAAACAAGCCGTGGCAGGAGCGAACGGGAGGGGGCCGAAGGAGATGCAGTTCGAAGTGGCAGCTTCACCAACATGTATCAGGACGTGCTGGCCGCAGGGCTGCAGGCCGACCGCACGCTGGAAACGGTTGATCTGAGCGGCCGCGCCCTTAGACAACCTTGGCAGCTTGGTGATGGGGGGGCGGCATGGCAGAAGGGGTGGGACAGGGAGCCTTGTGTGGCTGCCAGGCATCGCATTGAAACGCCCAATCGCAGGCCAAGCGGGACTGGGCTGAGCCTCCGACATGCATGACCCCCCGGCCTTCGCAGATCGCCCGAGTTGGTGCTGGCTGGAATCTTGACAGCCACAAGCTGGCGAGGATGGCGTGTTGTCCTCACTGCTGGGCCAGAGATTTAACCTCAGGCCCCGCTCGGCCGCCTATGAAGACAGCAAAATTAGAGGGAACATCGTACCAAGTCCACCACCGCTGCCAGTGCAGCTGCCACTGGAAGCATGGAAAGTCCACACAGGCCAGCTCGGTTCTCCTCAAACAGCAGAAGTGCGCGAATTGAGTTGGCCAGCGGTGAACGAACTCGTCAGTGCGATGTGCCCCTCTCAGGAGCTTCATGCTGGTAAACCCAACCGTGCCAACCAAGCTCGCAAGACTCTTGGGCCAGTTTGCGCTCCATGCGCAAAAAATAACTTGGGGTGCTGTGGCTAAGCCATACCGAATTGGGCTTTAAAAAGCAGGATCTAGCCGAAAGTGGGTTAGCCCTCGCGGCTGGCGGCAGTTTCAGTGGGTGGGCAGCCTGGTCCAATGACAATTCCATTGTAGGATTTCTGGATTTCGTGGCATCTCCCCACCAGCATCGCCCTGCAGCGTTAAAGTTCCAGAAACCGAATGTCCACATGCAAGCGACGAGGCGACTCAATCGCTGGTACGGCATGCTGCATTTGTCATGTCGAATTTCCAGCGAGCACGCTCCTGCCAGCAGGACAGTCACTCGGGTGGTGTGCTCACCTCGATGCGAAGCTCCCCGCCATGTGAGGTCCCGTCCGACAACCCAGCATGACTGACGACTGGGCTCCCAAAGTTCAGACAGAAGCCTCATGTACGTCGCTTTGACGATTTGCAGAAGTCCAATGGCCATCGATGCAACAAAGAATGCCAGGGCCCAGGGCGCGGTGTTGCAACCCGAGATGGCTTGCAACGTCCAGCAACCTTACCCGTGTGGCGTCAACTGCATTCCGTCTGCCCCCGCCCCCGCCGCTGGACTGGACGGACAGGCGCTGCGGTTCCACTTCGAATTCGGCTTCCGATCCTCGATGCTGGCGTCAAAACCAACACTCTCCACGGCGGCATCTGACAAACCGAGGCCGCAGGTTCGCATCATGTAACTACAGCAATGCATACGGGCATCTGTATGGGGCTCGCACTGCATGTTCTAGCACCATGGGCTGGAACTCGCACGGCACGGGCTTCTGTCGGCACAAGCGCCGCATCGAGGGAATGTCAACACCAGCACTTGCACCCCCCAATGTTCATCCATTTCTCCTTGTTGTCGGTGCCTGTTCCCGCAATTTGAGTGCCGCTGAGTGCCGCAGGGTAGCGATGAGATCGTCGAGAGTGCACCCTCGGCACTCGCAACCCGATTGGAAACCGGGATTTAGCCTCTGGCAGTGCCTCGATTCTGGTGCCCACCACGGTTGCTATTCGCGTCCCAGAGCCGCGACACGCTCGCTTGCTGCGACCCTTTTTCGGAATAGGGCTTGGTTAACCGCGCACAGCAGTAGCGCGAAACACAGCGACTGACTTCGGGCGCTGGCAGGTATGTTGTAACCTGCCAGAGGGGTCAACACGACAGCCCCGCGCTGTCACAAGCTTGGCCGTTGGAGGCGGTCATTGTTTCGCAGACGCCGAAACGCGGGCGCCAAACTGCAGACACCGGGAGAGTCTAACAGCACTAGCTTTCGAAGGCGCGTCTTTGCCGGAGGGTACGCAGGCAGCGGGCAGAACATTTCGGCAGAAAACAGGCCCGATCAGCACGAGCGAGTTATGTCAGTTAGCGGTCATATCGAGCTGTGACACAAATCTGACAGAACGTCTGAAGCAAGCGCCCCTGTCAGCACACAAGTTCCCGTATTTCGCTCGCGGCAAAATAGCGCAGGATGCGCCGCCAAAGCAAGATCCTAGCGGAGAAAAACGCGGGCTGACTTGGCTGACTTTGGGGGAGAAAAACGGCAAAAAATGAAGGTCGTGCCCGGAATCGAACCGGGGTTGCCGGAATGTTCAAACAATGGCTTGTCAGAATCCGGAGTGATAACCGCTACACTACACAACCAGTGGATTGGTTGTTGATGGACTGCAGGACGGAAATCTGCATTCTCAATGCGACCCCGCATCGCGACTTGACTGCCACCAAATGACCAACAACGGGTTCACCTTTGCGGTGAAGGCTGCATTTTTACGACCCGTCTTGGTTCTGGTGTTTTTTTTTTGCGTCTTGGTTGGGGAGAAAGAGTCCAAGATGTCCGCATACCAAATTGCGCTGGTCAGAGAAGGGGGCACCAAAGGGTGACCAAAAAAGGGGAACAAAAACGGTCCACCCCTGGACAAGCCAACATCAGCACCAGCATCAACACCACACAGGCACATCAGTTGCAAGCAATATCTCAAACAACACAAGACCAGTTGTAAAAATTACTATCCTATCAAACTACAACCTCCCCCTCCCTAAATCCCCTCGCCCCCCTCGCCAGCCCCGCCATCCCTTCTTTGTCAACCCCGAACCTCACTCTGACATTCGCCAGCTCACTCGGCAAATACGTCTTAGCGGCATCCGTACTCGCCTGGTCCCGCAGATACCTCGTCTGCGCACTCTTCAGCACCTCTCCCAATCCCATCAGCCGCATCACGGGTATCCCCTCGCGCTTGTGCACGACGGACGACCATGTCGCTACCGCGGATGCGATTGCCAGGACAATAAGTGGGAGGATGATCAGGAGGAGAGCTCGGGAGGGGGAGAGTTTCTTGAGGGTTGCTGTTGTGGTGATTGCCACGGGCGCCAACGTTGTCCCGGTCGACGGGGGCACAGAAGAGGTCGTCTGCGCGAGTGCGCCGATCGCAACGCGGATAAAGTCGGTGATGCCCTCGGTAGTCCAGACGTTGGTGGTACCCGGGAGGAGAGCGGTACCCGTGAATGGGATCGCGCGGCCGGAGGTGGTCGAGTTGGAGAACATGGGCTGCGCGCCGTCGACGCTGGGTGCGGCTAGCAAGGGCGCGATGGTGAACCACAGGAGGAGCTCGTTGAGCGCGGTGTTGCCGGGCGCGGAGCTGAAGGTCAGATCGGACAGCGAGGAGAGAGTCGGGAGGGGATCGGTGACCGGGGTCGAGCCGACGGTGAGAACCGAGGAGAGCGCGGTGATCTCGACGTCGCAGGCGATGGCGGAGGCCCCGGCGATGGTGGGGTGAATCAGGGACGTCCAGATGCCGTTGTCGATGCTCCCGTTGAGAGCGGCGAAGATAAGGGTTGTCCGGGTGCGGCCCGGAGAGGGAAAGACAAACTCGTCCGCCCAGAGGGTAAGCTGTGGGAAGCCCCGGATCCAGACCTCGGCGGTGCTGTTCTTGTCCCCGGGGAGGGAGGAGTTGCTGTTCGTCCGAGTCATGTTCGTCACGAAGGCGTTCCACCACATGCCGTCCTTCTGGAGTTGCTGGATCTTATGGGGGTTGCAGTTGATGGTGGTGTCGAGCTTGAGAGCGTTGGCGGAGAAGTCCCCGCGCTGCGCGAGGGTCTCGCGGTCGATGTACCATTCGCGGTACTCCGACAGGGGCTCGGAGGCGGGATCGGCGGACCAAGCATGGTACTCGGCGAGGACGCCGGCAATGACGGAGGTAGGGGGATCGGTTTGGGCGTAGAGCTCGCTGATGCCTCCGGCGGCGGTGTAGTTGCTTTCGAGTTGGACGGGCTGCCAGGTGGGCGTGTATGCGAAGCCCACCAGCGGTGCCGATGCAAGGGGGATCAGCGTTGCCGCGAGGGCTGCAAGCAACACCAGGCCCGTCGCCAACCTCCTGACCGACATGGCCGCCACGGGAAGCGAGATGACTGAGCCACGGGTTGTTGACAGGAAGGCCTCGAGTTGTCCGATGGAGAAGGATTGCTGTGTCAACAGCGGCCATATCGCCCCCTCGCAGAACGCCAACGCCACAAACGCCAGACTCGCAACCCCGACGAAGTAGATCAGGGTGATGATCCCCTGCACTGTCCCGAGATTCTCCACCGTCCAGGAATCCGCCTTGTCGCAGCTCGGCGCCCACGCAGGGCATTCGAGAACCTTCCTGCCAAGCGTGCTGGTATACACAATGGCGACGATGACGAAGATGGCGCCAGCGCCGAAAGCCGCGAGTAGCGAGAGATGTGTCGCCAGGAACGCCCACCATCCGAGACGGCGCGGCGACTGCGCGCCCAGGACGAAGTCGTGGTCTGAGGCAAGGCGTCTGACCTCTCGGGGGGTAGGTGAGGCCATGACGCCGAGCCCGATGGCTTCCTCGTACGGTGTTGAGCGCCCGGGATCGAATTCCTCCTTGAAGATGGATTTGTGGGAACGGGATCGGTTGAGGGAGGGGAGACTTGATGACAAGAACATGGAGCAAGTTGGTTTTCAGGGGTTTTGGTGAATTATCGCAACAGAGCGTCAACAACAGATTGACGCCAAACTCAGGGGCTCAGAATCGCCAACTTTGCAGCACCTCAACTTTCTCGACAACATCAACACGGGAGTTCAACACGTCCATCACGGTCCTCAAATACGAGCCAAAATGTTGAAGCCCTATTTCGTGGCTCTCGTCCATTGACCGACAATCGCTACGTGGCGGGGGCGCTCTCCAATGGCAGGGCGAAGAGCTGCTGCAGGGCCAGTTGTTGCGGCCCACAATGCAGTGCCCGATTCTGTCAGTGTCCATCGACGACTGTTGGGCCTGCAGAAATGAATGCAGCACTGCATGTTCCTAGCTCGGGCCGTTTCGAACGACATGTGAGATCTGATGCCGTGTCGCATCCCGTTGCCAATGGTGTGGGTGGTTGGGGTGATGCTGGCTCGGCGGTGCCCAACAATGGGTTTGCCCATTCGGATTGCCGCCATTGGCGTCTGGTTCGCAGCGGTGATTTGGAGCACCAAACTGCATTTGTTTTGATCGAGTGGGTGATGGTGGCATGCGCTTGGATCGCATGATGAAGCCTTCATTCCCAGCCGTCGATAGATGTGCCTCTCTCTACATCGAAGCAGACGCGCCAGCCGAACGGGTCACGCGCTCTCTCATCTCCCCAGTCTTTCAGAAGCCGCGCCAAAAGTCTCGGGTTGATAACTCTTAATACGAACCATGGTGGTTTGGGGTCTTGAACGACGGCAGTTCAATCCGGAGCTGCTGGCATTTGGCTTTTCGCTGGCGGAAAGAGTCCGCCTGATGGCGTGGTTGTCCCTCTTTTCGCTCTTGTGTGCCCTGAACTGGGAGACTTGCACCCAGCCGAGTGATTGCGGCACAGCAAGTGGGTGTTTCCTCCGCGGTGCCTTCCCGGGCAGCGGGAGAGTGTGGCAGTGCATTGGCATTTTCCCGCACACATTTCTTTGCTTCGTGATGCAATCGCTCAGGCTCTCCCCCAACCCCAGCTCCGACATGCATCAACACTCATCATGTCATTTAGCACCTCACGCTTTTTGCAAGCATTCGCCACACCGCAGTGCCTCAGATGCAAGAACTTCGACGCCTGGCCAGGCTGCACCGAACCATCGCTCCTCACCCTTGTCCTCGTCGGCGACATTTATCGCTCAGCAACCCGCTGTCCAGGATGTCGGCTGCTTAAAAGCGGCCTCGAACTCATGTCTGCAGAGACGTCCGCGTTTGTGCATCTGATATTCCAGACTGGCTTACCGCTGCGAGTTGAAGGAAGAGGAGGGTTAGATCTCGAGTTCTTCGTCGCTGAAGGCACTGACCCCCCTCCTCGCTGTTATCTTGGGACTGCTACCCAAGTCCCGACGACCATAGATGCGGATCGAATTGCTGCGCTGACGAAGAAATGGCTGCGTCGCTGTGCCGCCGAGCACACGTTCTGCAACCCTATACCAGCTCCCGAAACCGAGACGCAGCCGGACAACGGACCTGGACCGCGCCGTCTCGTTCGCGTCGTTGATGGCTTGCAGCTGGTTGAAGATCCAAACCCCAACGATCTGTACGTTGCCTTAAGCTATTGCTAGGGCGACGGCGGCGGAAACCTCGCCACAACCAGAGCGTCGCGGGAAGCCCACCTGGCCGGAATTCAGTACATGGATCTACCTAAAACGCTACAAGACGCCGTCGACGTCACTAGGGCTCTACAGGTACCCTACCTCTGGGTTGACTCTTTGTGCATCATCCAAGACGATGTGGATGGACGAGACTGGCGCATTGAATCCGCGAAGATGGACCGCATTTACGAGGGATCGTTCCTGACGATATCCGCGACCAGCGCTCAGGCTGTCACTGAAGGTTTCCTTGGCCAAAGGATTGTCATCGCTTCGGAACCAGAGACAACCACTCCGAAGTCCATTCATTGGACAGACTTTGAAGGGCGATCGGTAGAAGTCTTCGTCAGGACCCGCCATCGACACGACGCTGTCATCCCCGAGGACTCGGACGAAGCCAACCTTCGGCAATACCCACTGCTCTCACGGGCATGGACATTCCAGGAAAGGCTACTCTCTACCCGCACACTCCATTTTCTGCCACATGAGACAATATTTGAATGTCGCTCCGACATGTGGTGTGAATGCGGGGGCTCCCGCGCCGACCAGCTGTGGAAGAAGGGAAAAGTGCGAGGCTCCGTTTACAACCGGGCCGCGGCTGGGGCATTCAGAGGAGACATATATCGTGGGCCCTCAGAGGTATGGCAGTTGCTCATCCAACAATATTCCAAGAGGAGGTTGTCGAAATGGGAAGATCGTTTACTTGCTCTGTCTGGAATCGCAAGGAAGTTCAGCAAGCAGTTCGGCATGAATGCCACAGGGGCATACCATGCAGGACTGTGGGAAGTCGATATCCTCTGGCATGTGTTATGGCGGGTTGATTACGACCAGGCCGTCCAGATTCAAGAAGAAAGGACCGGCGACGCCTCCCAGACGGCCATCATTCCTGGAAAGAGAAAGAGGCAGACCACCCTGACACACGACCGGCAACAATCGCTCGAACCCTCATGGTCCTGGGTATCGTCTCCCTGGCCAGTTACATGGGCGGCAGTTGGGGCCGATGCCTTCTATACGGGAAATAAGCGTGTCTCGTACGTGAAGGTTCGATGCGATGTGGATCCCCTCG